TTTGGAAAGCTCTCGAGATGTGCTATAAGAATATGCAATGAAAAATGGGGTGTTCCATTTAAAAAAATTAATGTGACCTTGACCTGACCTTCGCTACGCAACCCAAGGTCAAACTGATGTGATCAGTAAATACATCTTTTTAAACGCCACCACTTTTGTCTGAAACATTTTTTTGTAAAACTTATATTTTTTCTGATATTCGGGCGTCCCGGTACTTTCCGAACACCCTGTATATATTGTTGCGCCTTGTCGCACACTCGCGTTCGCGTTCGCGGGGAATAAATCAGACACTTATTAGAGTAAACTAGGAAGGAATTTAATGCCGCTATAAAGCTTCTTGATGCAGGATTAACAATATTCTAATATTAACAGAGAGATGCGTCGCACGTCCAATCGGTTTGACAGCTCGGGACCATCTCATCTCTGTTGTTGTTTACACGTTGCCAAGCCGGTTGCTCGTCGTCTTGTCTCGCTCATCTCTCGATCTCGAACCGAACCAGCAATACGCTCCCAAAAGCGCGGGCGCAACAATATTTTATTTATTTTGAATAAATATTTCCATATAAGCCTTTCTCCCAGCGACACGTCCTCCTCTCCCTCTTCTTCCTCTTCACCTCTTCCTCTCCCTTCATCTCTACCCCTTTCTCTTCCTTTGCCTCTGCCTATGCTTCTGTCTCTGCCACTTCCTAGAATGGTAGTGATAGTTGCTTGGATGTGTGACGTGCAATTTCGCCGTCACCAAAATTCTCCTTCCCCTCTCCCCCAACGTTGACAGGAGAGGGCCAGGAGAGTCGGACTCGCGCCTCTTTCCTTAGCGGGAACGACGACCTCGCACATTTTCGTGTCTCGTGCGCGATTTGTACACGGGACCTCGCGTTTTTCTATAATTATTTGAGTGCGACAGAGAATCAACAGCGGGAGAACCGGAGACAGCGCGCTAAGGATCGACGAGGTGGTAGATGCGAGCGGAAAGCGGGTTGCGGGGACGGACGGAGAGGGGCCACCCGACGCTAAGAGAAACAAAGGGTCCCACGTGAGATTGTGAACTGCTAAGAGCTGAGACCTGGAGGACGAAGTTCTGGGGATGCCCCGAAGCGAAGGGTTTTCAAGAGCCGCCTAGGACCACAGAGGTTACCCGTTCTAGATTCCGTCTAGACGCTAACCTCTTAGGATAAAGGAGAGAATCCAGAAGCGGGCTCCGGGAAGCACCCCCGATAGAGCCGTTAACTCCCCCCAAAAATTAAGGAAAAGCAGCGGTAATCGGCGGCGAATTTCGCGAGTCGCGAAAGTTTCGCGGTCGCGAGTCTTCGTCACTGTGTCGTATGTTACGGCGATGACACGTAGCGAATTAGGGCCACCAACGAGCGAGCGAACTGGCGGAAGTATATTTACTCCGAGGGAGTAAATATATTCCCGTCGCGTTACGATTGTAGCCGCGTTTGGCGGCCTCGCGTATGAAAATTGTCATGAGTGGACTGTTTGTGTCTCGCGGCCATTAAAGAGGTGAGAGCTTCACCTCTGTGAAGTTAGCCCTCCACTTTTAATAAAAAAATTTTTTTACATAAAATTACGCCAAATCGTTTGTAGAAATATGTAGTGAGACTTTTCGTTTGTTCGTGGGCTGACTTAAAAAGTGACCAAATCGACGTCAAATAATTTGTAGAGGTTTGTAGTGAAGGAATTTTCGTTTGTAGTTGTCCAGAAACAAAATGGCGGCCAATAAAATATTTAAGGGTGTCGTATTTCCACCCCCTTGTGAGGGGCTGTTCTCTAAACCGACTATATCGAAGCCAAATAATTCGTAGAGGTTTGTAGTGAAGGAATTTTCGTTTGTAGTTGCCCAGAAAAAAAGTTACAGCCTCCTTCGAAATTAAGGGTGGCGTAATTCCGCCCCCTCGTGAGGGGCTGTTCTCTAAACCGACCACATCGACTCAAAATAATCCATAAAGGTTTGCAGTGAATGAATTTTTGTAGTTGTCCAAAAAAAAAAGTTATAGCCCCCTTCGTAATTAAGGGTGGCCTAATTCAGATCCCTTGTGAGGGGCTGTTCTCAAAATAGACTATATCGGAGCCAAATAATTCGTAGAGGTTTGTGAGGTAGTGAAGGAATTTTCGTTTGTAGTTGCCCAGAAAAAAAGTTACAGCCTCCTTCGAAATTAAGGGTGGCGAAATTACGATATTAAATTCGTCATTTTGTTTCTGGACAACTACAAACGAAAATTCCTTTACTACAAACCTCTACGAATTATTTCGAGTCGATATAGCCCGTTTAGAGAACACAGCCCTTCACGAGGGAGCAAAATTACGCCACCCTTAATTCCGAAGGGGGCTGTAACTTTTTTTCTGGACAACTACGAACGAAAATTCATTCACTACAAACCTCTACAAATGATTTGGCGTCAATTAGGTCACTTTTTAAGTCACCCCCCCCCCCCCTTTTTGGGG